AAAATTTATGATGATGGACTATGATGGGCTTAATCACTATAGGTGAGTTGTGCAATTAGGGCACATGTCAATACTTCTTTTGTAGGGTGGTGAAATTATATTTACTTTTAAATTTGAAGTGATGGGAATTTCATGATTTTATATTAAATACTAGAATGTAGTTTATACATGAATACGGTTAATTAAAATTGTAGTTTGGTGATTTTTAAAATATAAATTTTAAATTAAAATTATTTAATAATCATAGTTTTTATATTTAAATTATCTTAAACCGAAAAAAAAAGTAATAATCACATCTGGAATAATTAATTTAGATATTATATTTTTACATATATATTTGTTGAACATGAAACCAACAATAATATATATATATATATATATATATATATATATATATATATATATATTATCAAAGTAATTTATTTTTACTATCTAAACAATTTATATATATATATATATATATATATATATAAACTGATTTTAATATTAATTACAGGATCATATTCAAAACAAAATATCAAATTAATTAGTTTTATTTTTAGTTTTATTTCCATTTACTTATATTTAAAAAAATCAAAATCCAAATCCAAATCAAATCAATTCAATTAAAATACACGAGTTCAGTTCAAATTAATTCGATTTAGTTATATATAAATGTATGAAATTATATTTAAATAATATATAATTTTTCAGAAAAAATTACATCTAATTTTGTCAGAAAAAAATTACATCTAATTTTATCATTAAAGAACATAAAATATTTTTTTATATTGCGGTTAACTTATATTTATATGGTTCGAATCCGGAACAAAATATAATATTTAAATTTTTTATTAATAAATTTGATTGTTTTGGTTCAAAATAAATTTAAGTAAGTTAAAGAATTAATTTAATTTATTTAATTTTGATTCTGTAATTAATCTAGTTGATGTAAACCTATAAATCCCTATAACCAATATATTAAATAAGCATGCAGAAACAGCATCACGTGAATTCTAAAAATTAATAACTGGCACCAACCTAGTTTGTCGTGACCTGGAGCATCCAAGATTGACCATGAAGCATCAATTATTACTTTATTACAGTGGTTTCTCCTTTTAAACATATTTTGTTATTATTATTATTATTATTATTATTATTATTATTAATGTAGATTATGTTGGGAATTTTTTTTGTGTCAACCCATTAATTTATTATATATTACAATTTTTTAACAAATATATTACAAATTTCTATTGAATTAATGATTTATTTTTTATACATTTTATTTTCTTTTAATCTGTGTATTTAAAAATATATTAAATAGTTTTTAAAACTTATTTTACTTTTTTTCTCTCCTTTATTGTGTCAACTTTAAACGATTTATATCATTGAGTTATTTTATTTATTTTCAAAATCTATTCTTAGATTTAAGCGTTTTGTTTTTAAACTTAACTAGACGTTTATTGGGAAAATTTATGTACATCTTATTCGGATATACCATGCAACGTAAATATTTGTATAAACTTTTGTGAGAACTTATGAAAATAGCTTTTACTATCATTGATAGCATATTTTCATTTTATTTTAATAATTTTTTCACAATTATTTATGAAAACAATTGCTACTTCTACGGAAACAATTTAATCTTACTTTGTAGAATGATTTATTATTATTATTATTATTGAAGAAAATTTATTTGAATTTATGAATCTTTATATGTTTGAATTTTTATTTAATAATGACTTTCATCCGTAAGTTTTGATTTTTAATAAATGTTTAACCAATAAGAAAACATTAGAAGACATGGAATAAAAAAGAGTGTATTATTGGACATTGAAAAATTCCATAACTAACGAAATTAAATGCGGTGCAGGAAGTACTTTATTGTTTGGTTTGACTTTCTTCATGGAACTGCAACTACTTCATTACATTGCGAGAAAAACAAAGGAAACGACCAACAAAAACTCATCAACCATGATGTAAGTTGCTTTGAAATTTTAACAACCTTTTGAGGGGTATCTTAGACCTCTCAATGAGAGTTACATTCCATCCTGCAAAAACTACTGGGCACATGCTTTCTGAGTTATAGGTTTCTTCGAGACATTTCTCTGAATTTTTATTTTTTTTCTTCTTTACAATCTAAAACTAGTAGTTAGTTCAGATGGTCTATTAACCCATCTTTAATAAGATAGTGTTGTGAATTTAAATTTTTAAACTACCTATCGCTTAATTTATACTATATATTGCACAGTAGTAATTTGTTTTTTACGTTATTTACAAAGTTATACCGAGTCTACTAAATAATGTGAATATTTTCTATTAATGCTTTTGAGAATAATTCTTGAATAATAGAAAATTGTCAAAATTATGAAAAGCAGATTTCTCAACTGTCAAAAAGGGTTTATGATTAAATGCGTAATTGTCTATTGTTTGCTTCTGTTTCCAGGAAGGTGAAGACCACTTGGGAATCTGACAGAGGCATGCATTTCTTTCATATCAAGGGAAGTAGATAAACACGACAAAATGGTGAAAGTTTATTCCTTACCCCTCCTTTTACTTATGACTACAGTGTAAATTATATAAAATCCTACAGAGACTATTCAATCACATTTTTTTATTAGAAAAAAAAATGAATATTATTCAACTAAGATTGGTGGTAAGCTAACAACTTACCCAACTTCCAGTTTTATCCCTATCAGTAGTAACTTATAATTATAAGGGCTCATTAAAGTAATTCATTATTATAATAATAAATACTAGTTCCTGTTTTTTATATCGAAGTTACAGTTAAAAAGTTGCTGGACGGAGAGGGGTTCAATCATATTATATACCGTATTGAGTAAAATAAACCATTTAAAAATACAGATTAACTAACACCGACATCCCAAAATAAACAAAACACATTAAAACATTTTTGTCAGGTTTCGGAATGAGGTTAAAATTAAAAAGAAGGAAATCTCAGTGAATTTACAGACATATGATCCAAACTAGAGTTTATCTCTTGTTCATGTGTACACGTGTTAGGATAATCCAAAGAAAAAATGGAAGCCAACAGTGTTTACATAGGCCATGGGCCCCACAAAAATGAAAAGTGTGCGACTTTTCTGTCCAATGGGGGTCCATTTTTTTCCTGAGAAAGAGAAAAGAACCAACCAGCACCGACAAGTTTAAATTTTGTCGCGTCTATACTAGCCAACTGTACATATCTATCTATGACTAAGGTGATCATCAATCATATTATACACAATTATTATATTGCCACCGGCTCATCTCATGGAAAAGAATGTTTAAATGAACAACGTCCAATCTTGGTAAAGCATAGATAATATTACTCCATAGCAAGAAACTGAACCCGTGATCACACAAATTCTACAAGAATATTTATTTCATTTCTTTTCTTTTATATACTTGTCTAGTGGAATGAAAGTAAAGCAACATCTGATACTTTCCGCAGAAGAAAGGGATCATAGACCCGCACAAAAACACAAAAGAAAAGACGAGGTCAATGGAATGAAGAATCATGCGGTGGAAATAGCAAGGCTCAAATCGAGAATGGGGAAGCAATTGGCCAAATGTGGACAGAATTTCTTTTTTCCCTGTTATAATTGCAGTCACTGCTGCCTCACGTTTAGACAACAGCTCTTTTTTTGTCGTTGAAAAGAAGTAACACTGTAGAGCTTTTAAACAATGTTTTACACAACTCGTATGTACAAAACCATCCCACAAAAAGGAAAAACTACCTAAACAGTTTTCTATTGCAAATTGGCAATTACGTGAGCACTTACACCCAACTAAATACACTTGACTAGAGCACCCGCCTTTACTTTTCATCTCACGCAGGTGTTTACCTATTTCTTTGCTCTTTCTATTTTGATTTGATTCCCTCATTTGTGTAGCCCAAGTCTCTTAATTTGAGAGTACCAGGTATATTGGATGGGGGCTGTACGTGCCTCTTCAAACTATACACCACCATCAAACTATAGCCACAGCAATATGATCTCGCCATAAATATCTTCATTGACCTTTTCCGCCTGCTAGAATAAAATTTGATGGAACAAAGTTATCTCTACAGCAGAAACAGACAAATTAGTTAAAAAGAATCCAACCACAACATCTTCGACAAGCCTTTGTATTTTGTGCATAAGAAACCAAATTTATAAGAAAAGAAATCCAACAGGCAGATAAGAATTTAGGAAATGCCAAACAGAACACATTAGATATCCCACTCACCCCCGTATTCATGTATTAACTCGTGTGATACAGATACTTATATATTTACCTATCAATTGAGTCTTCACATTCACAACCAGATTCAAATTCACATCAATGTAAAAGATAAGGAGTCCCTGTCCTTACCAAACGCAGCTAGTAACTAGTTTAGCACCAGCATGATTCTGACATTCAGAAGAGAAGAAATAGACGTCATAAACCTTTTTCACATCACTAACAAGGGAACGAACACCGCAAATGCCAAAAACAACATACGCTCCATAAACAGCGAGAGAATCTCATTCCCAAGAAGAACTGATACACCCATGCACACATATGTTACTTAAAAAGCAGCTTGAAGAGGTCCTTCCAAATTTCACAGCAGTGCCCTCCCTTTTATTCCACCTAAGGACTAAGAGCATGTTCTGGTTTCAATTGATAGATATCGAAATTACTATTACTATCATCGCAACAAAATCTTCCTCCTTCTTTTTAAGCATTGAAAAATTCACAAAAAGTAAATTCTCAACTTTAAATTCCTAGAAATATTACCATGCAACATTTTGATATTGCAGAGAAAAAAAGAAAAACACATAACACAAGCATGAAACCCAGATTCCAACATACAAGCTGAAAATGGAAACACCCACCCTCCAACAACAAAGATCTAATCTTTTTTACTATTCTACCACAAACAAACCCAACTCACTGTATCGATTGCTAAGAGCAGTCAACCCTAATAAATCACAATAACTAAAATAAAATAAAATAACGCAAGAAAACAACTAAAACGTACCGTGGTCAAAATTTCAATCCCTGAAGATGACAGATTTGGCAATGCGCATCAAGGGTTCCAAACAATCCGGGGTGAATTTCCTGGCGAATAGGTATGACTCGGATTTATTGGACTGGCGGAGCTGGTGAATGAGTTCCGGTGAGACCTCCGGCGGACGGTATGTATATGGGTGGCCGTTAATGGTGCCGGTCCAATTAACCCTGGTGAGCGTGTATTTAGTGCAACCATCAGGGTCGATCATGGACAAGAGCGTGGGAAAGTAATGCTCCTCGGGGTAGCACTCGTCGTCGCGGTAACAGGGGATCTTGAATTTCCTCCAGAGGGTTCGGTCCTTGACGACAAGGAGAGCGTGGCGGCGCGTGAGGGTAAAGAACTGGGAACCTACGCGGAACTGTTCGAAGGTGATTTCGGGCATCATGGTGTAGCGGCCGCGGGATGTGTAGCGTTTCCAGAGCTTGGGGGCGTGGGAGAGGATTTCGATGAAAGATTTGTACTTGAGGCGAATGCCGAAGCGGGAGGATTCGGGATCGGAGGAGTCGAAGGTGGGGGAGAGGAGGAGGGACCGGTAGGTGTAGGTGAAGGAGTGGAGGGGGACGCAGTGCTGAGAAAGGAGGGCGAAGTAGGCGTTGGCAGGGTCGTCGAGGAGGGCGGTGGCGATAAGGCGGCGCGTGGCTGAGATGAGGGTGGGAGAGGAGCGGAAGGTGCGTTTGGAGGGAATGAATTTGTGGGCGAAGAGGGGGGAGAGGGGGCGCGTGATGTTGACGGATGGGTCTGCGTGGATGTAGATGTTGAAGAGGTTGGAGGGAGTGTCATGGAAGAAGAGGTCCCAGAGGGGGGAGAAGTGGAGATCGGTGTTGGTGAGGAAGAGGAAGGCGATTTTGAGGGAGGGGTTTTTGGAGGAGAGGTGGAAGAATTTGGAGGGGTTGGTGGTGGCGGTTGTGGTGGCGTGGGAATTGGCGAGGGTGATGGCGCGGTTAAAGAGGTTGATGTCATCGAGTTCGTCGGAGGGGGAGATTGGGAGGGAGTGGGGTTTGGGAGGGATGATGCGGGGAGCCAGGAAGAAGAGGATTGGAAGGGAGAGGAGGAGGGAGAAGGTTAGGACGAATGGGGTTGAGAACATTGAATTTGGGGCTATCCTCAATTGAGGTAAAATGCTCCACTGCAACACTCCTACCACCACTCCTGGGTAATGGCTCTGGTCTGGAATTGTGAATGATTGATTGGTTCCTATTTCCCTCCACAACTCATCAATGATCACTCTTTCTATCTCCGCCTCTTTGTGTGTGTTTTTCTGTGACAAAAACACACACCGGGGGTTTTCCGGGGTTGGGAATCAAAAGAGGGGGTTAATGTTTTTGTTACGACTTTGTGATCTCATGAAGAGAGGAGGAAAAAAGGGTTTGCGTTTGGGTTTGGTGAGAAGAGTGGAGATGGGGTCGTGGAAGAGGAGGGTGGGTAGTGGGTGGTGGGTACAGGAGGGGTTGGGGTTGGGGTTGGGATTGGGATTTTTCTTTTTCTGTTATCTTCTGTCACGCTCCACTGTAACTGCGAGGTCTTACCGTACATGTAACGTAGGCCGTTTGTTTCCTTTCGCAATTCAAATTTCACAATTTGGATTGCATATCTGGAAAAGTAAAATTGCAGTTTTTTTACCAACCCTGCCAAGTAACTAGTTTGTATTTCTTGTTAACAATAGTAAAGTAACTTGTAACAGCCGTTAACTATAACAATATACGCTAACTCACCACCTTAAGATTTTATTTTTAGATAAAACGATCGTAAGATGAATTATGTTACCGGAAAATATCGTGTTAAAAAATAATATATATATATATATATATATAAATAAAATGATTATATAAAAACTAATAATAAAAAATAATTCACTATCTTTCATTATTAGGCAATAATATATAGTAGATTCTTGACCCTGTCAATACATTAATTATAATTTATAAAAATTATGAAAGGATCTAAGTGACATTTAATTTTGTATTAATATCATAAAATACAAACATAAATTTTTTTATGAATTATGGTTCAAATGAATAGAAATTAATCAGAGCTGACTCTGCGGAGGACAGATTGCAATGCCCATCGCTGAATAGAGAGAGATTAATCAGGGCATTGACTATAACGTCATGTACCTGCTTTACTGGATCTATTTTTCATCATGACTGGCAGGACTTTAAACAATTTTAACCCAAATTTCAGGCTTTTAACTATTTATATATCCTTTTCAAACATATCTATTTCTTACCATTTGGTAACATGACATTGTATAATCAGAGTGAAAAGTGTTCATAAAAATAAAGCATAACAAATTGAGATGATATAATCAAATCTAAGCATTAATGTGTATGTGTAGGTAAAATATACTCATTAAAGAACAGCTGGCAACAACAATACAATTCCACGTAAGGCTATCACACACTCCCAGGTACCTTTCAATATAAATACATCAAATACATACTGACCACAACAAATACTCCATAAATAAAAACAAACTTTTATCAACCAGGCAAATCTTATTTTTACCACAACCCAAGCCAATCTCAAAACTGCAAAACCACATCACTGTCTTCAAGGATGAACTAAGAACAAAGCCCTCACCGTTTCCCATTATCTGCACGGAACCAAATGGCATATATATATATATATATATAGAGAGAGAGAGAGAGAGAGAGAGAGAGAGAGAGAGAGTGAGTGATTTCCCTTGATAGAGATTCTCGTAACTACATTTACGCCTGCTTATGTTCACTTCATTTCTTCCATTGAGCTATGAATCTGATTTTGTATTCACATCCCTTTTTCCATTTAGCTTAGGCTTATCCCTACCAGACTTTTGTGTGCTTAGCGTCCCTTTGACGTTAGTTGTGCTAATAGGGTGTTTGACTATTTGAGATCCTGCACCACCCCCTGCTTTAACATAGATAAGAAATAATATTTTTAGCAAAGGCTGGTTCAATCCAAACATGATCCAGACAACTGGATTTTCAGATTGCTTACTGTGCTTTTGTCAACACACTAATTTTATAAGTAAAGATACCACATAAAACTTCTAATTGAAAATTGCAAATTAATTTCTTAGGGAGTTTACAAAACATCAGTGATTTTATTCAGAAGAGTAACATTTTAGAATGGATAATTCAAACTATCAGGAATACAGCGGAAGGGGATTCTACTTTCCACAGTGTTGGCCAACATTTATTTGCAAATTAAGAAATGCTGAAGTTTAGGAAACTCCTGTACCACATTGCCATAAGAATCAACTTGGAATGCAGTTATTTAGAAACCTTTTTTTCAGCCTTAACATAACCCTTCTAAGTGATTGGTCATCTTTACTTGCGTAAAACCCTTCATGAAAAAAACTCGCAAAAGATAGCATTGCCCTGGCAACTGGAATTCATGTAGTCAATTTAAGTTAAATGAGTGAATGCACCAAGGTACATTTCAACTTTAGTTGTCAATTTCAAGCTAGCCGGAAGTGGAATGCAATGATTGGGTTAGCCTATCTATATTGTAGTTCACCTAACAATTGTTCCAACCTCCTGAAGCAGCAGTCAGAACCCCAGTGCACAAGAAGAAATAAAATTATCAGAAATAGAAAACTCACCATTGTTAGGCAGAGATAATCGCTTTTTTGCCTGCTTATCTGCCTGTGATGTTCTCTCCTTTGGATTACTGTGAGATCTTGACCCAATTCTAGGTTTTGAGTTAACTTCTTCAGCAGTATTTTCAACATTTGCCTTTGAAATTGGCTTAACAGGCTGTGTTTTTGATGATTCTAGCAAACCAGCAGACTTACTAGGTGAAGAATCACACTCATCAGAAATAGTGGGACCAGTTCCATGATTTTCCGGGTTTGGATGAGCGTTTGATGAGCATGGTTTCTTGTTAGCAGAGCTCAACTGATGCGTAGTTCCACTTTTACCATCCTTTGCTTCATTTTCATGCACCATTACCCCATCCTTCACATTAATGTCAACAAAGCGGTTCTCCCAAGGACGAACGGCCATCCATCTTTCCAACCAATTCCAACCCCAGCTACTTTTATCTGGTTCAAATCCAGAGGAAACTGGCTGCTGTCTTGATCCTGCCTGCCACTGCCAAGGGGAAAATTTGAAAAATCTTACACCAAGCCTGTGGACCAAAACTATGTATCAAAGGAATTGGATACTATAATGAAAGCAAAACTGCGGATCATGAGATTAAGGAAATTGTTGGACAAAAGTTCTGAGTTCATTTTCCTTCTAGAAGTTTGCTACCATATGCTAGTACTGTGTTAGTAAGTTACAATGTCAATGTAACTCATTACTAGTTACGAAACTAAGTGGCTTGATTGAATAATGTTTGAATTGGTCCAGCTTTTCTTTTTTCTTAGTACTCTTTTCTATTACACTATATATAAACTTGTGTTTGAGATGGACCATTCAAAACACTCTAGTTTAGAATACTTTAATAGGATGTAGAAAGTAACTTCTTATGTCTCCTGATAGAAAATAGCTTGGAGGCAACGAAACCCTTCTGTGAATTAATAAATTTCAACTATTTCTTATTATGCACATTGCAGAAACAATTAACCAATGTATAATACTCACTACACACATAACTAAACAATATGCTATTGTAAATTCACCTGATGAGATAGAGCATATGCCATGGCTCTCTCACGTTTTGCTGCTGCCTCCTGTCTCTTCAATATCTTAGCCTGAATATCTTCAACAGATCCTACACTATCACACCATCCTTCCTATATGTAAAAATAGCTGTGTTATTAATCACCATTATTAAATTACGAAGTCCCTTAAACAGATAAATTGCATAAGAAAAAGCAATTTAATCACATTATATAAGATGCAATCTGTATCAGAGGTGCTGCAGAAAAACAATCCAATAACAGAGAAAGAAGAATAGTTAGTGGAATTAGAGCATGCTCCCCAATTCAGAGAAAAGTTCCCTTGACTCCAATTTCTATTTCCAAATCTGACATAATACCCCACAAATGATTCCCCAATCCCAATATAACAGAACCACACAACACTCCTCTTTCCTCTTACTAACTCTCCACTAACAGATAACATTAGGCCCCATACTCTTTGGGCCTTCTATGGTATGTCTTAAGAGGCCTATTGCCCTTAGAAGGTAGATTCCTATCAATATCATTCCAAGCACTACAGCATTTACGAAATCAATTCCTCTATGAAAACATTCTGAGCTACATTTGATGCATAGACAACTGGATCAAAATCAAAATGGCATTATCATAGATATTTGTTTTGGGCTTTGTACGCGATAGTTTTTTCCTCTTTTCTTCCTCATTTACTAGTTCCTTGCATTTTTTTTTCCAATTTATTATCTGACAACATTTCTGCTAAGAAACTAAAGACTCCCAAGGAGACACTGCAAACTTTATAACTAGAATGGAAGTTGGGATGGCATTATTCTTTAATTGTTCATTTTACTTCCTTTATAACTATCTCCAATTCATGCTCAATTTCTCAATACCCATCCCCCAGGAAAATGGATAACAAGGAAAAATTAGTGAAAGATGTGAAGAATTGCACAATTAAAAAAAGTAATGTTACTTTCAGAACAGTACTCCTAAGTCCTTACTTCTATTTCTCGTACTCGAGCATCAGTTGCAAGGTTTTGCTGAAGTTTCTGTTGTGTTGCTTGAGTTTCCAATGCCATGCAAACACGCCTTGCCCGAACACGAGCTTGAACCCTCACCAAAGCTTGCATACAACGGAGTGTTATTGCTGCTTGTTTTCTCACTGCATGGCCTCTTACAAGGGCCTGGAGCCTTACCACACCTTTCAAAGCCCGTAATGCTCTTCTAGCCTGATACATAAAACACAATTTTCCAGGCAGGTCAAAGTTGTTGCCATGTTGAAAATAAAACTGCTGAATTTTATTTTTTTTAACATCTCTCAAAACAAATAAATGAGTAAATAAAAGAAAAAGAGAAAGAAAGAAAAAGACAATAATAGATCTAAAGGTCATCTCAAAGAAAAATAAATTAAACTCAAGAAACAACGACACCTAGAGGTAGATAAGTAACTTTTGTCAATCATGACAATACTGATTCTTCTACACGAAAAATAATTTTAGACAATAAGATAGATTCCTGAAGAATAAGGGGGGAAAGGGACAGAACTAAACAGCATTGCATAAACACTGCCCTATAGTCACACTGAAAAAATATAGTAAATATTTCAGTTTAGATAATTCCTTTTAATAAAAGATTTGAGTTCAGTCATGTAAATTAAGACAAATTTAATATGAAAATTTACCAGAAATCCTCGAAATGCTGTTTGAATGTGTATTGCAGCTCTTTCCTCCCTCATCTGTTGATCATGTGCAGCATCAAGTGCTTGTTGTGAAGAAGAAGATGAATAATGGGCATCAAGGTTTGCATGGCCATTATCATCACCAACAGGTGGAATAACTTCACTATCCAATTCGTTTGGAAGTTTACCATTATCAAATTCAACAGCATGCCTTCTTTGATGATGAAACTTGCCAACCTTCTAACAGTTAAAAAGTTCAAATATACAAAGTTATTTTACAATATATAATCTATAGTATATTATACAGGAGTGGAACCAGAAGAACTTATTTGGGATAAGGGCAAACCTTGAGTGACCTGGCCTTTCTCATATCCTAAAAGTGCCACCTTCTTGGGTAGCTCTTTCATATTTCATATTAAATCTAATTGGCATTATGTTGCCCAACCCAGTAATTGAGATGAGTCATGTGAAACTTTCTAACAAATCTTTCATATGCTAAGGTATTAAGATTGGCTAGTCATCAGGTTTGGGGGATGGCATATCCCTCTTAAAAACAATTGGTATAAAGTGAAATTACACTACAGGTATTTAAACTGGGCCCCAGCAACTGACATAGGCAATGCAAGACTTTCCAATAACTCTCTTATGTGACAGAAATAATGTTGGCTTGCCATCAAGTTTGGGGTATGCAATATAGACCTGGTGTTAAATTTTACTAAATTCAGTTTATATAGTTTCCAAGAGGAAAATTACTTGAGCACATTGAATTATCAATAATAAAAAAAGAAAAAAACTACTTAATCAAGGTGAACCATCCTCTAACATTTGAAGAATCAAAACAACTCCACTAAATGTCCTCTGAGTATAACACTCAAAAACACAAAAAAAAAAACAATTCCCACTTAAGGTGGAACCCAAGCAACAAAACTCTTGCTTTTCTTTTGGGGAAGTGTAGAAATAACTGCATGATGATACAGATCCTCAGTTAAAATCACTATATGTGGTGGTTATTTTTGCCACCAAAACATGAAAAGAAATACTAAAACTCAGGACTACGAGTATGAAGTGTTACTAATGGGAGAAACTTACATTTCCGTCCTTCTCAGAAGACTCTGGCTTTTCTGATTTCTTTAAACCAATCAGTGCTTTAATCCACTTCCCTGAGACACCCATAGTCACCACAAATTTATCTCAATCTAGCACAAACCTGGCACAAAAATATATGGCAAAGTCAATGCAAAAGTAGTTGATTATATACTCAATCTTAACTAACCTCTGAGCTACGGGAACAAAAACGGCAAGGCAAGCACAAAGCACCAACGTGAGCATGATAAACATATAAAATCTATTTAAAAAATGACAACCAATTCAAATATGTCACAGTAATATACCTTTCTGTGGCTTTTATAGCCTATATTGTTTATTATGATTGGTCTAACTGCTAAGTTTATTTCCAAAATACTAGTACTCCACTGAACTGGTTGTAACTATAAGAACGGAGTTTTCACTTCTAAGTAACAACAAATATTGGGGAAGTGAAGCGCAAAAAGAATGATCTCAAAATCTGCCATAACATAGTTACTACATATTAAGTGATGAAACACACCTTTTGAAATGGCTAGTTGTGTTTAGTCTCTCATTTCTATTTTGGCTTTATGTCTATTACTACTTGATCGAGACATTGACCCTTATTTATATACTAAGGGTAATACATGGAATAGCACCAAATGTAAAAACCACATTTTATGTTATGGAGTATCAGCCATAAACTGCAAATCTGAACAGAGGCCGGCCTACCAACTACTAAGGTTCGTTGCTTTCATTGTCATTTGTAGGCGTGCGTAGCCAAGTGTTACTAAGAAATGCAGCTTGAACCATACTACATCAGTAGGTGTGTGTGCTAAATTACACAAAAAGTGTACTTGAATAGCGTGTTAATCCTAGTGGCGAAGTCTGTTATAGTGCTAAGCGTTTTAAGCACGTACACACACACAACAAGTGAATAGAATTGCATAACAACTAGCCAAAAAATGTATTTTCAACTCATGGGAAAGCTGAAAGTACTTTCGAAGCTTTAACTATTCCACCAAACCTGAAGTAAAAACGACGACGAAAATTGAAAAATGACAGATACTACAAAGATCGAGATTCTATGGCAAGCAAAGAAAATCAGATGAGTAATGATAACCAAGGACGTTGACAATTCCCCTCCGTAAAAGTTGACTTGGTTGCTTGAAAAAAGAATTTCGTCCAACATAAAAAAATGCGCGATAGATTTGGTAACTTGGTAATTCAATTTAATGGCATTAAAACCTAGAACTCCAAGCAAGAAAAACTCAGATCCAGAAATCGAAGAGTAGAGACACAATTCACCTGAAAGTCATAGCAAGAGATATTGTCACAGAGCTAAAATTCAGCATCAGCCACGTGAATGTGGCGAACCGTCACTGAGTCAAATGCCGAGTTCTTCCTCAGGCAAACTCGCCTCTTCAGAAGATTTCCATGTGAAGCTCACTCTCTGTCACTCCCCAGTTGTTTTCAATAGAAAATAATAAAAGAAATAGAAAATAGATGACGAATGTAAAACAAAACTAGAAAAATAATTGTGTGTGAAGATGAACCGAGGATGAATTAATTAATAATAAATTTTAATTCTCATAATAAAGAAAGAAAGCGTTGGATACTATACACTAATGTTTAATGACATTAAACAACTAATATTCGTTTAAAAAAGAAGGGAGGGAGCACTCGCATTGAACGAGGTTTAGGAAAGGTGTGGTCTAAAGTGCGCTGGGGCGGCAGCAGCACGCAAAACGACGACGTGTAGCTGTCAATGGAGTTTATTCAAGGAATCACGGGAAAGTTTTAATGCGTTATTCTATTTAACATATTAAAATAAATTTAATCCAATAGTTAATTTTAAATATTAAAAAATAATTAGGTATGATAAAAAAATGATGATTTAAATTAAATTAAATTTATTTTAATTTTTATATTTAAATCATAATTTATATGGATTTAAATCATAACTTAGATCAGATTAATATTATGAATTTATATTGGTAAATTTTATAAGAAATAAGTTATTTTTTAAATAAAATTAAAAATAATAATATTTTAATAAAATATATATATTAAAATTTAATTTAAAAATAATTATTTATTTTAAAAATAATTATTTAATAATTATTTATTTTAAAATTTAACGAATAATTATTATTTTAAATTAATAAATTTGTATAAATAAATAATGATAATAAATAATAAAATTTTAATTCTTATTTTAAGGTTAAATAGATATATTTATTTATAATTTATATACTAAATTATTATATTTAAAAAAGTTAATAAAATTTAAATATTAAAATTGTATTTATTTTTTATTTATATATTAGTTTCATTAATTGATTTTTAATAAATATATTAATATTTATTTTTCAAAAATTTAATCATTGGTCTTTTTGTCCATTGACCTCACAGAAAATTAAATTAGACTAAAAATTTTTATTTATTTTTAAATATAAAACAAGCTACATAATTAAATTTTTTATTTAATCCATAAGATCATAACAGACTTGACTAAACAAACCATCTTCATAATTCTAATTTTATTTTCATCGCGTATATATCATATTAATCCTTGATTAGTTAATTGATAATATATTAGTGGAAAAAAAGAAGTGAAGATGGTATTAATAAGAGAAGGTATATTTGTTGGGTGATAAATTTTTACGGGATATTTTAATTTTATAATGATAATTACAAAATAAAATTGTTTTTATAATCAAATATTTTACTTAATTGTAATTAGGAAATTAAAATTTTAACAGTGATATATTTTAGATGATTGTGTTTATACTTTAGCCATCATTAAAATTATGTTTTGTAGATATAATTTAGTATATATTTTTTTAACTAATGTTAAATAATCACTAGTGATATTATTTTTTATTTATATTCAATGTTTTTTTATTAATATCTACTGAATTTTTATTTTGATGTCACTTACAACTTTTTTTTGAATTAAAATATAGGTGAGGACTAATGTTAATCATTAACGTTTTTTTATATAATTTATTATTATTATTTTAAAGATAATGTATGATAAATAATTAAACACTAAATATACATGATAAGAACATAATAAAAAATAAAATAAATATTATATAAAAATTATGGTTCTGAATATCTTAATATTAACAGTATTATTATTAATTCTTTGTCATTTTTACACGTAAGAAATACTTTATTAGTTATCACTTATAAAACTTATTTTTTTAGTTAATATTATTTTAATTTTATATCATAATTACATAATTATATATTTAGATACCATAATTTTTATATCATATTTATTTTATCTTTTATTTTTATATTTTTATTATGTTATTAAAGTGTATATTTAATGTTTAATTATTCATCATACATTATTTTTAAAATAATAATAAAATATATAATAAATAAAAATTGTTATATAATAAAAAATTAAACACTATATATACATGGTAAGAACATAATAAAAAGATTAAAAATAAATAAAAATAAATATGATATAAAAATTATGATATCTAAAGTAGCTAATTATCTGAATATCTTAATACTAAGAGTATTATTATTAATTTCTTGTCACGGGTTATCTAACAAATACTATCACTTATAAGACTTATTTTTTAGTTAATATTAATTTAATTTTATATTAACAAAGTTAAACATGTTTTTTATACGAAGATTGTCATAATTATAGTTTAATTTATGTTTATTATTGTTTTGTCTAAAAAAAAATAAGTATTTTTGTTTTATGTAAGAGTTAAAAGATAAGTATATATATATATAAAAAAATTATTACGTTAGTGAGATTTATGAGAATGAACATAGTCTCTTAATCGATGACTAAAAGATAGGATTTGAGTAAGATTCTACTATCGACCTTATAATGGACATAAATATTTTGTCTACAAATGATAATGTCTTAAACTCATATTCATTATCATAACATTGTTAAAGTTAATTTTGGTATTCAAGATATTGTCCGTTTTTAAATTCTAGTTTGTTACGATTTTGTCCTTAAAAGATACATTGGTGTAGGGATGGGCAAAACGGGCTAGGTCCAGCAGGTCGGCCGTCGACCACGCCATAATATGGCGAGGACGGATTGGTATTTTCAGCCAACCAACCCGCTTTTGCTCGCCCCAAGTCCGCCAATCCGTCGGGCCAACCCGCGACACGCCTAATTAATAAAAAATAATTTTTTTTGTAATAAAATTAATTATAAAGATAATATATAAAGTTTAAAAATTTTAAAAGAGAATTAAAAAAGTTTTATTCTCACGAGAAAATATTATCCTCCCTGAAACATAACATTTTATCATGTTCTCCTTGTTTATCTTAAGCACTTGATTATTTTTATCCTTATTACTTGAATTAAAGGTGTAAGAATTACCCAACCAAGAATAATAAGAAGTTTTATCAAATAAAAAAAATATAGGTATTTGAATTTTTCAATATAAAAAATATAAAATCTATAAGTTTAACGTTATTTATATATATATATATATATATATATATTTGTTATTATTTATTATTATGTAAATTTTATTATTATTCTAAATTATAATTTCTTAAAATAATGTATTCATTTGTATTATTAAATTGAAATAATATATATATATTGAATTATTGACAAACAAATAATAATTTTATTATTAAATTTATTAAAAAAAATTATTTTTTTCTAAATTATGGCGGCAGCCCGCCAACCAGCCCTATGGCGGAGCGGGCCAAGGTTCTGACCCGTCATGACTATATCGAGCTAGCCGCCCGCCAGCTTTTGGCGGACCAAAACGGAGCAAGCTGACCGTTTTCCCATCCCTACATTGGTGGGTTAAAAAATGAGAGTATATATAAATTATAATTGGTTTCAACTCAAATGATGTGAAACTCATGAGTATATTGAAATATAACAATAATTGATGATTAAAGGATAGAAGTTATACAAGATTATGCTTTTAATCGTATGGTTGAGTGCTAATATTTGTTCTAATAACAAAAATGTCTCGACCTTATGTCCCCTATAATAATATTATTAGGATAAATTTTGATTGGTAATTTATATATATAAATCATATATTAACTATGAATATGTCTTTTTAAAAAAAATGTGATATATGATAGCTCTAAAACAATGTATCAAACATAAAAATTGACTCTATAATAATATTATCACACACGAAACAAATACACTCTATGGTATTATTATTATATATATATATATAAAACAATAATAATTAATAGTAAAATATTATTATACACACGAAACAAATACACTTTATGTTATCATTATTATATATATATATATATATATATATATATATATATATATATATATATATATATATAACAATAATAATTAATAGTAAAATTCAGATATATGACAATAATAATTAACAGTAAAATTCAGACAAGAAGGAAAAATAAGATCTTAATATGTGTACATCAATATAATAATAAGTAATATAAAATAATTTTGATTGATATTAATAAAGAAAATAAACATCATTGATGTCATCTGAAATTTTGTAAGAATTTTGATTGAAAAATAATTTCGACTAATATAGAATGAAATATTTTTTATTAATATTTAATTGTTAAATATTATTTAATATTTAAAAAATTAATGATGATTAAAAGATTTAAAAAAAATGAAATATATTTGAATTAATTTATTTAAATAAAATAATTTAAATCTAATGTATTAAAATTTAATTTCAATTGTAAAATTTAATCCATGCCCATTAAATTAAGTTTGGCAGATATGGATTAGAAAAAAAATCTTAATCCATCTACTAAAATAGTTACCTTCCACATTAGTTAAAAGTAACTACAAAGAATTATAAATGTAGAAAAATATATATTTTTTTAATATTTTGTTTCATAAAATATTGGTTTATAATAATGACCATATGTTTGAATAGATAATTTTACTGTTTTAAGAAAAAATTAAAATAAAAAATAAAGTGTATTGAATTTTAATAGTTTTCCATTGAAGTTGTTATTTTTTTTCATAAAATGCAATTTATTTTATTTTTTATTTATATAAAGTATTAAATTATAAAAGATATTAAAAAATATTTAATAATTAAAATATATTATTTTTTAATGTGTTCCGGTCCATGTTGATAAAAGTATTTTTCAACGTAAGTTTGATAAGATTTTTCAGAGGGATATCAAACAAAGGTTGTTTTGTTTGATGTTGGTTAAAAAAATAATTAGTTGATGTTCACCATGATTGTTTCGATTGATATCAGTTTTTTTTTTTTTAAACATTATTGACCAATGATTTTTCTTATATTTTTAGTTTGGTGTAGGCTTTAAATTTTTTCTGGGTAACAATGAAAAAAAAAAAAAAACTTGGTCAAAGTGATCGAAAGTTTTCTTAATCTTTCACTAGAGAAAAAAATTGCATTGACTTAAAAAAAAAGATACCGCTGATTATATCGATAAATAATAATTTATGCAAATATGGACAAAAAATATTTCTTATAGACATTAAATAAAAAATCTAGATATTAACTCCAAAACAACGTGTCAATATTAATTGAAAAAAAATTCTAACTAATGCGGATTGAAAATTAACTTATATTAACATTTTTTATTCATATAAAATAAACAATAATCTTACTAACGTTATTAAAAAACTTTGATAATATGGTCGAAAATATTACATTTTCAATAACCAACTAAAATGGAATGGATGTCATTTCGATAATGTCATTAAGAAAAATAATACGAAAATAGGAGGTGAATTTTGAGTAATTAAATTACCTAATAAAATTACACAATTTTAATATTTTGAAACTTTTATTAATAGACACATTGTTTCAGAAACAATACCAAGTATGTTAAGTATTAATTTATTTAATCACATAAAGGTGTAAGGAATAACGAAGGAAAATACCACAGTTAGTTTTTTTTTTTTACAAATACTTTTTAAATCATAACGTTAAAATTATAAGAAACGAAACTTATTTTGCTTAAGACTAAACTATAACAATAAATATAATTTTTTTTAAAATGACATTTTCAGGACTTATTTACTTTATATAATACCAGCATATGCGTATGTATATTTGTATTTTTATTATGTTTTATTATTTTAATTTATTAAAATTTAATATATATGAATATATATTATTTTTAAAATATAATTAAGAAAAAAGATAAATAAAATATAAAGAGAACCATAAATTAAAAAGAATAAATGAAATAAGATATAACACAGACATAATAATTTATATTTTTATCCTGTAGATATAAAAGTTGGTTATAAGAAAAATCATCTTTATATATTATTATAGATAAATATATGTCTAAATATTTTCTAAATTATTGTAATTTCCTTTAAAGATGACATTTCAATATGTATTTAAATTTTGATATTACTAATATATTTTTTGTTTGTAAACACATTTAATTTGAATTTGATTTTTTTAATGTGTAAATATGTTATTTGATAAGTTCACATTCTATCAGTCACATCAACATATTACCATTATTAAAAACATAATTTAAAAAATCCCATAAAAATGTTATTATAAAGACAAAAGAAAACTATGTAATCAATCATAATAATGATAAATAAACTTGAACAAAAAATTAGAAGAAATCGTTACCAGCAGAAACGAGTAAATGAAATTGGACCAAACGGTTAGTAGCAAACCCTTGTGGAATACAAAAAAAAGTCAAGTCTGGCGCCAAGAGGTGGCAAATAATTTAAAAAATAAGCAAAAATTAAGAGACAGAAAAGCCTTCGTTTTTCGCTAAAGAAGGATCTAGAAGAAAACCTAGCTCCACCAAAGCTTCAGATGGATCCTACGGTCCAGATTTACTCACGAAAACTTGGCGAATAAAAATTCTAGACCCTTCTGAGCGACCTAAGAATATTTTAAGTTGGATCGTGGCCGTCGAATGAATAGAGCACGTTATTATATAAACACGCGAGACGAGGAATTGGTGAATTGCATTGGCCAAGAGCACTTATTTCTTCTTCCCTCGCGTTCCGTGGAGATCCAGTGCGGCCAGAACTCGCAAAACTCGGTGAAAACAATATTCGGAGGTAGAAGAGCAAGATGTTTGGGAGAGCGCCTAAGAAAAGCGATAGCACAAGGTATTATGAAATTCTCGGCGTTGCCAAGAACGCTTCGCAGGAGGATTTGAAGAAGGCTTACAAGAAAGCCGCCATCAAGAATCATCCTGACAAAGGCGGTGATCCCGAGAAGGTAACCCGTTGATTTTTCTGATGCTTTATTGTATACATGCGAACATTATTTGATTTGGTAATTCTGTATAACCATGTTGTGGTTTGAATTGTCATTGATTGAGTAATTGATTTCAAAATTATTCAAATTCTGATGTGATATGTGGTGTCGAGTTTTTCTGATTAATTTAGGGACATGGGAATTGAGGGAAATGGACAAAAAGAGGGGGGGGGGGGGTTGGTAGAGATTGCGTTTAGTGGGTTATCGATGTGATTGGATGGTGTTGTTTACTGTTTTGTGTTGTTGAGAATTGGATGTTGTGTTGATAAATTTGTGTGCGTTTTTCTTTTGTGTGTGTGTGTGTGTGTTTTTGTGTGTGTGTAGTTCAAAGAGCTTGCTCAAGCCTATGAGGTTCTGAGTGACCCTGAGAAGCGTGAGATTTATGATACCTATGGTGAAGATGCTCTTAAGGAGGGAATGAGTGGTGGCGGTGGTGGTCATGACCCGTTTGATATCTTCAGTTCGTTCTTTGGTGGAAGTCCGTTTGGTGCGAGTATGGTTTGTTTATTTGCTTTTAGTTTAAAGGGATTTCCTTCAATTAATAATTGTGTGAAGAGTGTTAAGTGGAGTTTTTTTGCTCGTGTGAACAGGTGGTAGCAGTAGAGGAAGGAGGCAGAGACGGGGAGAAGATGTGGTTCACCCTCTGAAGGTCTCTTTGGAGGATCTTTACCTTGGAACGTCTAAGAAACTCTCTCTTTCACGAAATGTGCTGTGCTCAAAATGCAGTGGGTATGTGTCGGTGCTTTTGGGTTTTATATTTTAAGGGCATGTTTGTTGCTTTGCACCCGTTTGGTAAAAGGGTTTCTAATATTGGTGTTTTGTTGTATGTAATTGATTGCAGGAAGGGTTCAAAGTCTGGGGCGTCAATGACTTGTGCTGGTTGCCATGGTACTGGTATGAAGATGTCCATTAGGCACCTTGGTCCTTCTATGATTCAGCAAATGCAACATGCTTGCAATGAGTGTAAGGGCACTGGAGAGACTATCAGTGATAGAGACCGATGCCCTCAGTGCAAGGGAGAGAAGGTTGTACAAGAGAAGAAAGTACTTGAAGTTGTTGTGGAGAAGGGAATGCAGAATGGACAGAAGATTACATTTCCTGGTGAAGCTGATGAAGCAGTATGTGGAGCCATTGAGACAATATTTTTTATACTTATATTAAGCTGAATTATAGAACTTGGATTAACTTTTTTATACTTTTTGTGTTTTGCAGCCTGACACGATCACTGGGGATATTGTGTTTGTCCTGCAACAGAAGGAACATCCAAAGTTCAGAAGAAAGGCTGAAGACCTTTTTGTAGAGCACACCTTGTCTCTCACAGAGGCTCTATGTGGCTTTCAGTTTGTGCTGACTCACTTGGATGGTCGGCAACTACTTATCAAATCAAACCCTGGGGAGGTAGTCAAGCCTGGTATGCACAGATTGCTCACATGTACTTTGTCACTGTCTTAGTTATACTGGATAATTGAAACTTGACATTTTTTTTTAACTTTGAATGTATTATTTTTTGCACACAGATTCGTTCAAGGCCATAAACGATGAGGGAATGCCAATGTACCAGAGGCCCTTTATGAAGGGCAAGCTTTACATTCATTTCACTGTGGAGTTTCCTGATTCTCTAAGTCTTGATCAGGTGAAGGCTATAGAAGCTGTTTTGCCAGCAAAGTCTTCATCACAACAGTTGACAGACATGGAACTGGACGAGTGTGAGGAGACTACACTCCATGATGTGAACATGGAGGAAGAGTCAAGGAGGAGGCAACAAGCTCAGCAGGAGGCATACGAGGAGGACGACGATATGCATGGTGGAGCTCAGAGAGTACAGTGTGCCCAGCAGTAAAAGTAGGTCATGGGTGTGATGATCTTGGATTATGTTATTTTTAGCCGTTAGTGCGGGACTAAACATAATTAGTGTTTGATTAATCGATTTTGACAACCAAACACCCAACCATTTATTATTTTTAAGAAATTATTTTACAGAGAAATCTAAATACAATTTTTTCTTCTAATGATTCTGCTGCATTCCCTTTCTCTTTTTCATTTATTCTTATGCAAGAAAAAATATATTGTGTGACGATTCTAAATATTTTTTACGATAACATTATAGAAATTATATATTTATTTAATATATTTTATCGTACATTATTAAATAATTTAAATACTTTATTTTCAGATATTTAAGATTTAATATTTTTTGTAAAAAATAATAATAAGAAAAAAATACTTTGGATCAAGTTAGGCAGATCCAGTAAATCGAAACTTTTTTCTGAAGTATATTGTTCTAATTTATTGAATTTTTCTGGCGGACAAGAAATGCATTTTAACCTCCTTTGAAACGTAGTATTAAAATTTGCTAATTGGTAAATTTGAAGGATACAAGTATTGTCAAATCTGATAAATGAAAATAATAAACTGAAATACATCATATTTTATCATAATCATCATTTCCTTTAAAAATTTATTAAAAAATGATATATATTTGCAAAATTAATTTAATTTTGATGGAAGAGATGTAATCCAAACTTCTTCCTTTTTTTTTTTATAAGATTAGAGCTGGCCTTGAATTTTTCTGACAAACGGAGTGTTAAAAAAATAGACTAAACTAAAACAACATTTTTCTCATGATGTAATTTCAAATGAACATAATGGCAGTTATCAAAACCGAGGACGAAAAGCGAAAGCATTTCACACAAGGGAGTGCTAAATATTCTCCCAAGAAACCACAGGGTTTTCAAACAAAACAGATTACAATCCTATTCATGGGTAATATCAATCTTCTTTTGGAGATGCCGGAATAACTGAGGAATTGTAAATGAGGGCTTGTCCCATGATTTGATACATAGTTTTGCCACAGCAAGAAGACTTTTAAGCTCCGTACAGTCATAATTGTTACCAAGATTAGGGTCTATCATCTTATCAATGGAATTGTAAAATCGTGATTCTTGGATCCATTCAATTAAATCGGAACCTTCCATCTCTGAAGACTGACCGGTAACCAGTTCTAGTATGAGCACTCCAAGTTGGAATATAATCCTACAACTTTTCTGCTTCAAGCAATCTGAAATAGACGAGGATGGTGAGCAAAAGTGTATAGTAAGAAAAAGTAAGCACTTAAAAATTTTATTTTGTTGTAACTTGTAAGAGTGAAAATTTTACAAGAAGTGACCTTCTGAATATGGCATCATAACAGAATTTCCACCCGATGGAAGAAGGCCAAAGTCAGATAGCTGTAATTACAAAAGTCAATATAATTTAATACGATTTCTAAATTACTGTTTTATTTGCCCTCGGCATGTCAATCCGAAATGAGATATAAAGAAGGCAAGAGTTCACAGCGAGAAAGGGAACTATTTCCTTACTTTGGCTGTGAAATTCTCATCTAACATAATATTGCTTGAGGTGATAGAGACATGACATACAGGTGGTTCACTGAAGAGAAACAAATATTCCTGCTTCCACATAAACACATGGACACAAATCAGATAACCATGCTTAACAATTAGATAAAAAAAATTGTAATTTCTACTGCTTCTTCATATCTTACAATTTTAAATGGCGTGGGCATAAAAAAGACTCCTAATCTTTCAGCTAAACACGTAAATTTTGTTTTTCATCAAGCAATGTTCTTTGCCAACATTTTAAATGGCGTTGGAACCACAATGTTCTTTGCCAACATTTTTGTCATTCGTTGGTTCACCCTTCTTATTACTTGCACTGTACTTATACTGTCTTGATTTCCCCAGATTTGCCTTTATTTTATCCTTTCTCCTAGCCGTGTTCATCTAGTTCTTATTTCTTCACTCTTTCACTCCTTCAAGGCTTTAGCTAAAGGCATCAAAAGAGAGTATAACTATCACCCATATGTGACTTTAGTGCGTATGACCATCATAATGTAAATCCAGTGAGAAGTGAGACCACCAGTATGCAACTCGCTACTTACCCAACAAGGAATTTCATGATCTTGGCATAATAAAGCGAATTTCCCCTTTTATTGGGGGCTTTACTAGGTTTCCATTCAGAGCTTATAATAGTTCAACTTCGTCCTGCCAACACTAGGAAAGTGCCCCAGACTGGATACAGTGTCAGTGTGTTACCGATTAGAAGAGTTCCGTGTTTTTAATAAACAGATGCTAACCCCTAATATGTGATGTTTTCCTAATAAAAAAGATTTATAAAAGAGTATTTCTTCTCCCAAAGTTATGGAATCATGAATTCCTTCAACACGGTTCTCTTAAGATCCCTCGTATGTTTTACATGTTCACCTGTGTTACCTTGTTGACTATGACAATAGTCAGGAGTTCAACGCCATATTTCTAGTAATTCGTGGAAGTTAAATGACACTGACCACCAATTCAATCCACACAGAAGCTAACTTCTTCCCTTGTGTATGGAACCGAGTGAGATAGTTTCCAACATTCCCTTTCCCATATGATTATATAAGTAATGTGTCGAGCTACTTTTATATTTACAGCACTACTAGATATCTAAGTTATCAAGGGTTTCCATGCAAAATCAATTAAGAATACTCAACGAGACATAAGAATTCCAGGCTCTTGAAATTAATTTAGGAAAATTTAATAAGAAGATCGCAGTTTCATGCTAAAAATATTAGGCTATTCTGGTTTCAGACATGCTTTAATTTGCAGAACTTACCAGTGCAGCCACAACCCCGTTGGCTATTTGTAACCTTGTCCTCCAATCTAAGGGAGTCTTCAAAGGGTCTGCCAAAACCCAATCATGGAAACAAAATCAAAACATGTCATTGATAAGCTCCTCTAAAACATTTGTTCAGCTTTCTAAATTTACCATTTAGATGATCCTTCAAGCTTCCATTTTCTATGTTGTCAAATATGAGCAATCTGAAGAGAAACCAAAAAAGGAAAATCTTAAAATTGCTATACCTATCCACACAAATACCGATAACACTCTAACTGTACCAATTATCCAAGTCCATTCTTACAGAGGAGAATTCAACATGTAGTTGTTGGAAAAATTTAATCAAGAAGATAAAATATATCACATTTTTCAAGATTAAAAAAAACGGTCCATGACTATAATTTCCGTTGTAAAGTTAATTGTGATTGGTCCTAATTTTCCGCAATATCAAGAAACAAGACAAAACTATGGCCACAAGATAGGACCTTCTACGTTTTTTTTTTTTTTTTTTTTTATAATTTACAATGAAAATGCGAAACAGAGCATATTCAACGAACCTCTTGTGATTGCGTCCGACGGAAAAGCCTTTGAGAGAGAGAAGGTGGCGATGACGCAATCGTCCCAAGAACTGTACGTGTCTGTAAAAATGATCGTTTTCTTCGTTAAAACCTTTCACTTCTCTCACCAAACAAACGCCGCCACCGTCTCCAAACCTGGCAGCATACGCAGATACATCGGAATTGCTATAAACGACTCTGTGGAAGCCATCCGTTGCTCTTCGAACTTCCTTATACGAAATTCTCCGCAGAAAAAACACCGCACCTGAACAATGCAACACAGGTATCAAAAACTTCGAGCGTGGAGTTCAATTTGATAATTGAATTGAAATTTGATGAAATTGGAAGAGGAATGATTGAGAGGGAGGAGTGTGGAGTGAGAATTGTGATTACCGGAGCGAGATCGGTGAAGCCATGCGAGAAGGTGGCGACGGAGCTTGTGGATGAAGGGATCCATGGAGGTGTCTGTTAATGATAACGGAGTTGAGAGGAGAGGTAACACCGTCAAATTCCATTCGCTTAGTAGGTGTTTGGCAAACGTGAACAACGGACTTTTAATGAAAACGAATCTATCGATTCCTGTTATTTTTGGCTTTGAAGAGAGAGAGAGAGAGAGAGAAAACGCTGTGAAACACATAACACTGATAACATAACAGTGGAACAGATTCAACGTGCGTCAACGTCGCTTCAAAAGTCATTGAAAAAAAAAAAAAAGTAACAACGGGACGCTAATCCAAACAGTTTTCTGTTTTTTTTAATTCCGGAGTAATAGTGAAAAAATAATAATTGAAAATTATGTAATTTTCTAAATCTCAATTTACAATGAATAACTTTTACTAATAGATTTGGGCAATAGATATATGACTTTTAATAAATCATAACATACATTAAAAACATATCATTGGCATGTTTAATGAAAAACACTTAATCTCTTATTAATATTATTCACAGTAATGTTCTCTCCATTCTCCCCTTACATATCTTTAATCCTGATTGATAATTAATTACTACTGGAAGTTAAAATGAATTAAGAGTATAAAATATTCAATACAAATATTATTTATATGTTTTTATTTTCAATATATATCTCAAACGTAAACTTTAATATTTATTAAGTGTTACTTTTATATTATTATTATTATTATGTGTTTATTTAAAATAAGTTGTTAATTTTATTAAATTCTTAATCTAAGTATAAGGTATAATATGGTATGTGATTCTTTATTTTACAATTGAAAAACCATGTGGATTAAATACAAATCAATTAGAATTGAGAAAACTAAATTTGATATAAAATATAAGATATAAAAGTGACAAATTCAAAAAGTTTGACGTGATTTTCTAAAGTTTTCATTTATTCATTTGTATGCATATTTCATTATTTCTAAATTTCTGGAAGATTTTAAATCTCTAAAATTGTACTTCCTTTAATTTTCAATTGAATTGAATGTAGTTCAACATTGAATTATTTGAATCAAAATTATCAACATGATGCCAACGCAATATAGTTAACGAGTTTTTAGTTATTCACCTAAAACAATAACTCACACCTACTTTCTTAATTAAACAATTAATGGATATATATATATATATATATATATATATATATATATATATAAAATTATGG